CACGCTCCTACCCAGCGGTCGTTTCGAGGCTGCGCATCTGCTACGGCAATCGGTTAAGTGCGGACCATGTGGAAACCACGCGATAATTATTTTGTATAGTCATGTGATTATGTAAACTTTATTCTGGCTTGCCTCTCCACGACCGCTGGCGGAAAACATTTGTAAATAAACGCCACCGTTACCAGTGACACCCCGTTCAGGAAAGCGCCAGTGATCTTAGCTAATCCGATGCTCGACGCGTCGCGCCAACAACACCGACGCGTCTATCCTCGCCAACGGCCGTGTATGGACTAATGCCCGAGGAACCGTCAGTTCCATCTCTCACCGACATCCGAACTCGTGTCCGCGAGAAGTTCGGTCAGCGTCCATGCTTATGGCAGCTACAGGCTGTACAGGCTATCCTGCGGCGCGACAAAGATGTTGTGTGCATTGCTGGCACCGGGTCGGGGAAGACCCTTACATTCTGGATGCCGCTACTCTTCCGTCCAGACGGCATCCAGATAGTAGTGACACCTCTTAATATTTTGGGAGAGCAGAACACACGGGAGCTCCAGCAGAACAGGATCTCTGCCATTGCCCTTAATAAGAAGACGGCTACACTGCGGAATATGAGGGTGGGTACTTGCCCAAGTCTTGTGGACATTTGTCCTAAGCTGATCTAACCTACCTGATTGAAGGATATTGAAGAGGGGAAGTATCGAGCTATTACAGTGAATCCGGAAATCCTCTCCGGGCGCTTCGAGAATCTGTGGAAGAATGTTCAGTTTACACAGCGCCTTATTAGCATAACCTGGGATGAAGCCCATTGTGTCAGTACTTGGGGCGACTTTCGAGAAGAATATAGGGAGGCGCATCGTCTGCGCTATATTATCCCCCGCCAGATTCCATTCTACCTCCCGTCAGCCACGATGCCTGATGTAGTACTGAACGATGTTATGCGGATCCTCCAGGTGCAGCGTGATAAGACGCATTTCATTAGGTGTTCGAATGACCGCCCGAATATTGCTATATCTGTGCGGAAGCTCAAACACCCAGCAAGCAGCTTCCGCGACCTTGATTTCTTAATTCCACACACATGGACACCAGATGAGCCTCTCAAAAAGTTCCTGGTTTTCTTCGACAGCATCGCAGAGTCTGTAGAGGCGACAAAATACCTACAAGAGCGCCTGGTGAGGTTCGGCGGGAAGAAGACACTGGGGAAAGTGGTATGGTTCAATTCGGAGATGTCTGACGAATACCGGTGGGACAAGACAGACGACCTGCGGAACGCATGTATCGTGGGGCTATGTTGCACAGACTCATTTGGCATGGTATGTGCTGCTACTGCTCGAAGTATATGCTACTAACACGTGTATCTAGGGTGTGGATCTACGGGACATTGAAGTAGTGGTACAATGGAAAGCTACGTGTACGATGTGTACACTGTGGCAACGGTTCGGCCGAGGGGCACGGGACTTTAGTCTCACTGCTCTCGCTGTCCTCATCGTTGAGCCCAAACATTTTGACGAAGAGAAGAAGAAAGCTGCCGACGCGAAACGGAAACGGGCGGAGAAGAAAAAGACAATGGCACAAAGGCAACCGCTTACATCTCTGAATGGCACTCGCACTGCAAAACGCCGTCGTGTCCAAGGCTTGGGCTCGGCATCTGGCTCCCTATCATGCTTGGGACCTTCAGCCAGCGACAACTCAGGGGCTCCGTCTGCTGCTCAAGGTGCTGACAAGTCACCCCCTGAAGACGATGATGACAGCAGCGATGAAGAGGAGTCTGCATCTGTCTTGCAGAACCAGGAGGACATACGCAGGCTCTATGATCAAGCAATCGCTGATGGAAAGCTCTCCAGCACGGGCAAGCGGACACGTCCGATGGAGCCCACTATGGATGACATGATTAACGCCGCAACACGCTCCTGGAAATGTTACCGGGTGCCCGTGGGCATCTATTTCGGTAATCACAAACTGGGTAAGTAATAGCCCAGTATCTGGAGCTTGTGTCTTCTCATCTTCCATTTCTTTTGTTCACAGCAATAGATCAGGGAGCGTGTGATCCCGACTTGCCCGGGGGTTGTACGCGCTGCGTCGTTCCCAAGCCGCCCATCTGCTGTAGTCTTTGTCACCCTGCGGCCTTCGACAAGCTGGCTGAAGACAACGAACCCACAGCCAAGACAGCGGCAAGACCGTCTCGTAGTCGTATCAAGAAAGACTACTCGTTCAATGCCCAGGATTTGGTCCTTCGGACTGAGCTTCACAAATTCAGGTTACGCATGGCCGAGAGCCTATTCGGATGGGCCGTCGTGGAGGATAATGGGCCTGGTGCATTTATGACTGACACTACAATGCAGCGGATACTGGACTGTGTTCATCACGACAAGATCCGGACAATCGAAGCGCTCGCAAAGGAGACGAGATGGCCTTTCTGCGATGAGTATGGGATCGACATACTAGCCCTCATTAACTCAAGTCACCCTCCTGCCCCGCCGCCGCTGCCTTCGGTTTCGATGTCTGCAGTCCTTTCGTGTGCAAGCTCGCCAGGGCAAGAAGCTGCAAGTACTTCGACTGCTGCGACAGCGCGATCATCGCGCCAGTGTCGGGCTTGCGGTGCCCATGATCATATCGGTGCGTTTGATAATGCTTGCTATTTCCAACGTGCATATTTACCGATGGTCTCCGCAGCATCCAATCGGCGATGCCCAAAGCATAACCAACGTCCCTCAGATCCGACGGCGGGAGAGAACACGATGACTGATGAGAATCAAGCACCGCCGAACCCGACGACCCCCGCCTCTGCATCCGTGCCATTCTCACTCCCTCCGAATCACCAGTACCTGCCACAACTCACATATCCAGGCGCAACATTGTACGATCTACCGTGGTCACCATATCGACCCGCACCCCCGCAATTCAGACCTTTCCTACCCTCTCCACTGAGGCTTGGAACTGTTGCTCCGCATCGGTTCTATGGAGTGAGTCCGTCTATCCCAAACGTGGTGGGTCAAAGCAATCGTGCTGGTTCGTCTAATCAGCCGCAGGGTGAGTGTATTACATATCCTCGACACCTAAATCCTCTGGTGCCGGCTCGCTGACATCCGCAGTATCGCCCTCTTCAGGTGCATTTGATTCCCCGGTGTAGAAGTCATATCCCGAGTCGAAAACGTTTGGAATTTCGTATGCGCTTCCACGCCCTGGCCTGTATTCGTTTGTTGCTTCTGCCTTCATGTATCTCACTAGAGCTGCATATGTTGCAGCCAGGTCCGGCGGCCCATGGCGGCTTGTCAGGTCTGTCAAATGAAGGTTTTCTTCCATATTCTCTATGCAGCCTCGGTAAACGTCGATTAAGGTGGATTCCGTGATGACCCTGTCCTTAGTGTAGTTTGACCCCCCGCCTCCATAGATAAACTGTCCGTGGACGTGGGTTGCTCAGCAGGTGCTGATGTCTGTCTTCGAGGTGACATACCTTTGTATACAGGTTGTCGAGCTCCACGACCCAATCAACCCCCCGGAACTGACCCTCCTTTCCTGTAGGATTCACAAGGATATTATACCGAATGGCACGTCGTAGTCCCTCCGGATAGACAAAGTGAACGTCTGTCAGGAAACGCTCCATCGCGGCGGCATATTTGTGTTTGCCCGTTGCACGGAAGACCCGCATCCATCGCGGGAACAATGTTTCAACCCGACCGATATCACCCTCGTTCATTGCGAAAGAGGTTTGCTCATATAGCAGGAAGTATTTGTGGGTGAGCATCATATTTTCCTTCTGCTTATCGCGCTCTGACAGCGGGCGCGACTTGGTGGAATATAGATCACCGGGCGCTACGTAGTCACCAGCCATGATACGATACGACATCTCTTCGATTTGCGAGTACTGTGGCTTCGACTTTGCGAACTCTTCCAAGGTCGTCCACTCAATGTTTTCCTTCCCAGCTTGTACTCGCCAGCAGTCCAGCCGCATAGCTGTCCCAACCTCCCGGATAACCTCATGGATACGTCGGAAACCCGGGCTGCTGCCCAGCTTCCCGGTCTCCTTAGAACGATAGACAGCAGCTAACTTCATTAAGCTGTTCGCATCGAGGCGCGCCTTCTGCTTCTCGAGCAGGAGTCGCCACAGTGCGTCTGCACACGCCATTTTGAGATGGAATAGTCCCATAATGAAGACAACAAACTGGTAACGGTTCCACCTTGTCTTCTCTGGTGCTCTTCGTTCGAGTATTGACCGAACACGTTCAGCCGTCCCCAGGTCTCCATGCATCAAGACAACGAACTCGGCAATGTCTTCAATGTCACCGGTCCATTCATTGCCGGAGTCCGAGTCAACATCCATCTTATCTTCGCTGCACTGCTCTGATGGCATACCGACCCCGCCTTGTTGCAGTAGGTTGATGATGGCATCCATATTGCCCCGTACTGTGGATTGTTTGATGTCCATTGCCTTTGCGGGGACGTGATACATCTTCTTGACAGGAATCTGTTCGATGGCCTCTGGTCTGCCTAGCTGTGGCAAGAACTGCCGAAAGTATTCCGGCCCATACTGGAGAAGGTCCAACCGGAATTTCCATGCATCAAACCGTTTGGAACGGGTCAAGCCTGATGGATGGCGAGGACCCAGCTCTGGATGGAGTCGCTCCAAGTCGGTAATACTGTATTGTCGTGGTAGGTTCTTGGGATCAGCATGGATATTGAGGTGTGACCTCTGCCAGAGCAAGTCTGAACATCGTAGATCCTCTAACGTGACACCATGTTCGAGACGGATGATATCTCCAGATGTCAGATGTGTCAGTGTGTCACCAGACTTTTCGACGGTTGGCGCAGACGTAGTAAAGTTAATGTCGAAGTTATCATATGCATAACTAGCCAGGCGCGTCTGTCCCAGAGCTCGCCGCTTGCGACAGGATTCACGGTCGAGAGACTTAACAGCATCTTGTATGGCGTCCACGGAGATAGATATCCCCATGTGAGCCAGACTTTGTATAACCTTCGATGGCGTGTTGCAGGCATGCATAAAGAGACCGATGACGCTCTGAATTGCGTTGCACTTCTGACTTGTGCTCTGCATCATAATGCCGCAGCTTACTACCTTTTTCTGGGACACCACGTCAGACCTTTGCCTAGTGAGTATGCTGCATCAACATACGATTGTAATGAGTGCCGCACGTCGCTCTCTGGGTTTTTTTCGTGCCTTGGATGGTCTCTCTTGTTCACTATGGACTGGAACTTCATCTGCATTGTTGATTGTGTCTTCTGCAGATATTCCATTGGTTTGGTAACCGGGAAGAGTCTCGGAAGCACTATGTTTATTACATAGCAAAGCATCGAGTAGAAGCCAGAGCTCCGGTGCCAACTTCTCTAAGCCCTTAGCCATATCTTCAATCCGAAAATTTTCCAGTTTTTCGGCAGAAGCATGGAGGGCACTGAAGTGCCAACCATTTTCAGGTAAAACAAGTTGCTTGACTGTGTGAGCATGGTGTTCCCGGCTGACTTTGTGAGCCCAGGATAGAAGGGGACCAGAAAATAATTTGTTCTGAAGCAATGTGTCGAAGAGATCAACCAGCACACTTGAAGACAGGAAATCTTGCATGCAAGGATGGGTCATATATGAGGCATTGCTGAGAAGTCTAGTCAAGAGCAACAGCATTGATATATTGCAGTCATCGAGCTCTTTCAAAACCGCTTCGATATGCTTGTATAAGGCCATGTCTATCGCAGACAATCGATGCTCTCTTAATTAAACGAGCCGCGCCTGCGGCGCATGCTGAGAGCTTAGCTAAGATCACTGGCGCTTTCCTGAATGGGGTGTCACTGGTAACGGTGGCGTTTATTTACAAATGTTTTCCGCCAGCGGTCGTGGAGAGGCAAGCCAGAATAAAGTTTACATAATCACATGACTAAATTAAGTAGGTATCGCGTGGTTCTCACACGATTGACATCTAGCCACTTGCCCTAACAGATGCGCCGCCTCGGAACGACCGCTGGGTAGGAGCGTGGCAGGGGAACATCTGTCGTCACTTCCGACTTTTCGCGTGGTTTAACTATGAGGTCCCTGGATCGAAATTACGGCTCGCTGGTAGCATCAAGCCCGCGAGTTCCGACTATGACACTGCCTCTGTACCGTACTTGCGGTAAATGTGCTTCTCACAACCGAGCAATTGGAAACGGGGAGGGCCACCTCAGTATAAGAGGAAGGCGAAGATGAAGACGAAACCCCATCGCTGGTCGGTCCTAGTCATTGTATTCACGTCCTTTTTCTTCCTATCCTGCCTTCTTTCTTCGTTAATTCGGACTTTCTTGTACTTCGTTCTTATTAACGACCCCCTGCCATCATGCGTCCCTTCGGCTTGTTCACCACTTTAGTTATTGCTGCATGTGTCTTGGTGCAGGGCGCGCCGGTATCGGAAGGTAAGGCAACCTTTCGTGCGAGGAGGCGCATGAGCTGACTACTCTTATACATAGCGGGCCTTCAGACAATGGACGGTGTGTTCGAAGGGGAGGCGGCAAGCCACCAGTTCGATGCTCGCAAAGCCAAGGCCAAGGCAGCGAAGAAACCTGCAGTTAAACCTCCGAAGGTTGCCGCCCCCAAGAAGACCACTGCTGCAAAGAAGACGACCGCGAAGACGACCGCTGCTAAGAAGACCACTGCTGCTGCCGCGGCCAAGAAGACAACTGCAGCAAAGGCCACCGCCGCGAAAACCAGCG